GCTGCTTCTAGGTAATTGGGCTCTACTTGGAGGTTCATGGCTAGTTATAAGTGGGGTTATAAGTACACTAATATGGGTTATAAGTATAGTTACCCTACTTGTAACCCTACTTATAACTACCCATGAACCTCCAAGTAGGGGTTGCACCGCCAGCCTGAACCGACTCAGATGAAGCCCCTGCGAACCGACCCTAGTACTTAACTTCGGTTAGTAGGGAATGGAAGAATGGCAGTAATAGTAGTTACAATTGTACCCCATTCCTCCATTCCCTACTAACCAAGGGTAAGCGTACGGACCATGCAGGGGCCCGTTGAGATCAAAGTCGCTCATTTAGGGATGCATTGAAGAACCCTCGTAGAATCCGTAAAACCTACTTGTCGGGTATCATGGGGAACTAAAGGTTAACCTTTTTGGTTATATAGGGATTATATAGGGACTATACTACCCAAAAAAGGCTAAAGGTTGCCTACTCTTCTACTAGGAAAAAGAGACCTTACGGACAATTTTAAACGAAGCCGCAAAGGAACCGCGGACCGACTTAGGATCCCAGGCACCGGTGCTCCGGAGAGGTTTTCCGCAACATGCTGCACCATCTCCTTCTTGGAGGTTCACGGGTAGTTATAAGTAGGGTTCCTTTAAAGGGATCTATAGGGTTACAGTTGTTGTTTAAGGGTTTAGGGTAGTTATAAGTAGGGTTACAAGTAGGGTAACTTTAGTCATAACCCATATTAGGGGACTTATAACCCCACTTATAACTACCCATGAACCTCCAAGTGGACATCGAATCGGGTTTAAGCAAAGGGCCTCTATGTAGAGCTCGAGTATAGGGAACTGACAATTGAAATGAGCTTTGGGGGTAGATTAACATAGCAAGCATACACGGGGGACTGTACGGGGATATGTTTAAACTTCGAAAAACCCCTAAATGCGGGCGTCTGTCTACTAAGAAAGAGGCGTAATGAAGATGGCCTGATTTGTTTTGAAAGGCTTGTCAACAAAACTGGGGTCTACCATTTAGGAGCAGCGTTAAATACAGCACAAGTAGAAATATTCCTTAGGGTGCCCAGGGCCCTGAGAGGATTATGGGATTACCCCTCCCCCCCACCTGCCCAAAAGTAAATGCTGTCAAATTACATTGAACCCTTCTAATGAGATACTGTCCCTGCCCTAAGCCCTAAACCCCTAAACACGCAACCCCTTCGTGCCTGGACTTCATGCCAGCAAGACACCCTAAACCCTAAACCCCGACGCAAGACCAGTACTCAGTAGTCGTTAAGGTCCTTCTCAATAATATTTCGTCCGCCAGGACCCTATTCTACTTCTCTTGAGAACCCTGTATGATGAGCGTCCTCCTTCCCCATGACTCGCGTAGCGGCCCTCTTCTGACGCCAGAGGCCACTTGTCTGAGCCGCGAGGGCATGCGCGGACTCCACCTGCATTCATTCAGGTTGAGGGCTTAGGCTGAAGGGGTCCCCGACCCGAGATGTAGGGTTTTGGGCAGTTACGGGTTTTTTCCCTCCTTTGGGTTTGCGGCCTTTTTTGGCTTTGGGCTTTAGGGTAGGGTCCTCTTGAAACGGCCTGATGTTTCTACACAGGGCAGTTCCGAGGGCAGTTCTCTTTCCCAGAACCCAAACCATGACTAGTCTTGCCTAGGTCTGCGGTCGGCTCACACGGCATGGGGCTTAAAGTCCTGCTCGGAGGCTTGGGGTTTTGGGGGGTTTTGGTGGTTTGGGGGCTATATAGAGGGCTTAGAGTAGAACCGGGGTTGAAGATAAACTTTTCTGTGACCCAGAAGTCCAGGCCACGACGACCCCGAACGAGGCATCGACAAAAACTGCCAAGCTTTCACCCCAAACTATGGTTGTAAAAGGGCCTGGGGCTATGGTCTACTATCGCTCCTGATTCAGACCCACATAAAAGCCCGAAAACTTCCATATGTTCTGCGCGAGACGCTGCTGTCACCACATCTTCCAGAGGGCTCACAGGAGCTGCTTGGTCGAAGGCGACCCGCACTTCCTTCAGCAGGATTCTTGCCGGGTGCTTTAAGGGAGGACGCTCACACTCGGCAATACCAGGCGAGGTCTGTAGAGAGATTCACGACTCAAACTGTTGGACGGGCTTTCATGCTACATTGTGTACAGGCCCGGTGTGCGCACAAGAGCTCGGCTTTGCTAGCTCAGTGTTGTCACTTCAAATCCATTGGGGTTTAAGGTTTAGGGTGTTGCCTTCCGACTTAGCAATGACGAGCCCGCATTACCTTGCAACAGGGTTTTGGGCGCAGGGTAAGGACTCGTAGCCACCTGCTTTGTCATGCACTGCCTCATCAATGTTTGTGTCCTGGCTCGGACGACCATGTCGGCAGCAAGCCATGCACCCAGAACCCTCAAGATTTAGCCTGCGTTCATGGATAAATCACGTTCCAAGAATCCGCAGGAACCTGCGCAAAGACGATCCTAGTTAACTTGCTGTAGTTAACTTTAGGAATGGCGGGCACGTGCCAACCCTAAGGAAGCAGATTCTACTGAAAATCTCAACCCTCAACGGTCTATCAAAGCCCTGAGCTCTAAACTCTGAAGGTTTGGGTGTCGGGGCGTCCTTGGCAGTCACTGCTGGTCCGAAGTGGTCCTGGATGGCCTGCCTCAGAGTGGGGAAGTCTTCAGAACCCTGACGGATCTCTTGCTATCCTGCATTACCCATAATAAGGAATATACCATAATTCCCATAGGTTCGGGTCCCTAATTTAATGCAGAATCTATATCATCATCCGGATCTCTTAGTGTCCTTCAGTGTTTCCCGAAAACTCCAAGCCTGCAGACAGTACGTACTTTGGGGGGCGTAAAGTCCATAAATCGAACTTGCTTGGAGGATCATGGGTAGGGTATCTACACTTATAACCCCTACAGTGCATTATTATGGGACTTATAAGTCATAATTAGAAGAAGGGTTCTTTCAAGGGTCCGCTAAAGGAGTACATAAAGGTGTTTCTCTCTAGATTCCCCTGCTTAAAGCCTTGAACACCCGCAAAGAGAGAAGGTGACCTACATAGCAGAGGTGAACGTATTTGTGGAGGCACTTTAAGGGTCTAGGGACGAGCCAATAGCAGGGCTGATGGGCGTTTATGTCCTAGCCTCGGGTTTATTTGGACTCCGAGGCCAGGGATGGCACTTCGTATTGACATCCCAAAATCCCTGTCACATGAGTTCTACAATAAGAAAGGCCGAAACCCTCTTCAAATTACTGGGGCCTGTCTTTTACCACATAAAATCCCGAGGTAAGGATCAACACCCTGCACGTAAACCCACACAAACCAGGTTCTAATTGCTCCCCATGTAAAACCCAGTCGGGCGCTTGGAAATCCTGCCAACATCCGGCTTCAAATTCCTCAACTCACTAAGCCTTAATAACTACAATAGAGTTTTGGGGTTCCTTTATAGTAGACTTAGAACAAGGAACAATACTGGTACCTAATTATTTAGGCTTCTATATGATGATGATGATGATGATGATGATGATTAATTATGAGTGTTAACATTGTTATCATTATGTATTGTTATTACTGTTGCCATTATGTTAGTACAGAGGGAGCCCAACCCAGCGCCGCCGAGCAACAGAGCTTCGGGTGCCGGCAGCTGCGCTGCTCGAAGCTCGGAGCAGATTTGGCTCAAGTCCTAAGCTCTTTCTTTCAGTGCTTTCATAGAAGGCTGCTAAAAGGTACAATATACGGTTGGCCATAATATTGCCAGACGATGTCGTATAAGAGTTCCTATACAAGGGTGGGGTGTATCAATATCAGGGCTTTAGCGGGTTAATGCTTCTTGGTAAGGAGCTCAACAAGCGCCAATTAAAGAGATCGACATCGTACTTTCCAGGCTTTTTGGAAGTGTCGGGTTCCTGCGAAGGCCTTTCACAGCTTCCTTCTCTTCCTTCGATGGCTTTATCGGGTTTAGAGTTCTTGTTGTGGAGCTTAGTCAAGGTGGATGCTATCATTTTTCGGGCTGCATAGCGAGTATATAGGATGTACAAAGGGTTTAGGATTCATACATGGGTAGTTGTCAAAACTAGAGTCCCTTATCGGGTACCCGAAAATAATTGGTGCCGTATTACAGAAAGGACCCCAAATTGTACCAAAATACTGACAACTTCTCACATGTAACTTATCATCACAGGGAGTCCGAGACTCCGGGAGTGCATCTTCCCTACTTACTTACAATGTCATATGCTTAGTATGGCCACAAAGCATCATATTCACGATGTATCCTAAGTGTCACCAAAACCCTAAACACCTAAACCCTAGAAGCCCTGAACCGTAAGCCCGGGTTGAACCCCTTCCCCCTGTTACCAAAGACACCCTGATTAGCCCTAAATATCAAGACACGTTTCGGAACACCCCCCCCCCCCCGTGAAATCACCCCAGCTTCTTCAGGAGCAAGAGAAGGAGCAACAACAAGATCAGGAGTAAGAGCAGGAGCAGGAGTAAAAGCCAGTAAGGCGCAAGAGCCAGGGCGGGAGCAAGATCCGGGAAAAGTTACTGTTAGAGATGCAAGCATCACCTCTTAACACAAACACTTTTCGAGTTGCTACTTGGGGCCCCCGCCCCGTCATGTTAGGGGGATGGGATTCGGGTTTAGGGTTTAAGTTGCTCAAGAAGAGCCCAGAGTCTGCATGCAGCTTTCCACTGCCGGCCTGCCATGCATATCCGGCTTGGTAGACGACCCCAGTACTCCGGCCAATATAGGTAAACTTGCGCTGAAAAGCCGTGATGTTTGTGCCTGCAAACTTTGCTGGTGGACCAATTCGTTCAAAACCAAACCCACCCCTCCAGACCGCAAGAGGGGCTCTTTAAGTTCAAAGCCTTAACCCCAGTAGACCCCAGATGAGACCCTCCTAACCCTACAGGACCCATTAAATCCACTCCTAAGCCTAAACCTTATGAAACGCTGAAGCCCCACCCTAAAACCGTAAACCTTAAAGCACCAACCCGCCTTTTGCACGAAGCGCTCCATTCGCTTTGAGAGCTCCCCGCTATGACGGGCCATGAGCTCCCCGAAAGAGGCCTCAAAGGCGGAGCTCGTTCGGCAAGTAGCGTAAGCAAAACCCGGATTGCCATGTCCGTATGTAATCTTACAACAGAAGACTAGAGAACCGCTTGGTTGGGCAGCACTTGCGAGGTTAAGGGCCTTGCAGCCTGAGACTGCACTTCACAAACCACACCCTCATTCTTTAATTCCAAGGTCCTACACTTCAAGCCCTAATCGATCAACCTAAACCCAAGCTTAACAACAACTTCATGGAACCTGCGCCCCTTCTACACCCCCCCCCCCCCGCCCCCCCGTATTGCTTTGCTTCTAGAACCACCATATTACCAACCCCAAACACTGCTTCGTAGCCCTGGACCCTCGCATTTTGTAAGGGCCCTAAACCCCCGAAACCCCTTGGACCTCTCCAAGGACCCAAAGCTACGCCTCCAGCTGCAGATCTGCGAAGCAGGCGACGCCACACTGCTGACAAATCGCGGCCTCACTCCTCGCAGCTTAGGGCTTAAGATTGTAGGGGTTCGTCCCAAGACAACCTGAAGGCCAAACCGAGTAAAGCCCTAAAGCCCTAAACCGTATTCAGCCGTTATAAAACGATTGAAGCTAACCCCTAAAGCTCCAAGGAAACCCTCAATGCACCTAAATTCTGAGACGGTCTTTGCCACCACACTCAAGTCTAGCCTTCAAGAACCCTAGATTCAAAACCTTACCTATTAACCGGCTCTTGTAGGTGCTAATTGCTACAAAAAATGAGTTTCTGCAGTTTAAGGTACAGCCTAACCGCACCACCGCGCTCCGGCCCAAAGCCGTCAGCAAGTCTGCCAGCCCCACGTCGCTTTCCACGAGAGAGAGGAGCCTCAGCGAGGTTCCTTTAAAGGTTACCGTAAGAGTTGTGTAGGCCTTAACCCTGGGGCTCCAAGTATACACATAGTACCTACTTGGGGCTCTAAAGTCTATAAATGGGACCTACTTTGGGCTATTTGGAGCCCCAGGGTAATTACTGTAAGCGTTTCAAGGTTTAGCGTTCAGGCAGGCTGTAAGATTTCATGGTTTAGCAGTTTGGCTGTTTAGGGTTCGCACAGTGTTTCCTAGGGCCGCTACGGTCACTTCGCCTTGATTACGGGAAATACAGGGGCCTCAATAATCGGAATTGTGTTTGGGGATCTGTTGTCGCACAGCTATACTAAGGATCCCGAAGGATTACTCACATTACGAACTGCTCGTACACTACCAAATGTTTGGGGGAGGTTGTTTTCGCAGGTTCCCTCCAGAAAGCTGTGCTCTGAGGTTGTCAGTCCTTTTAAGCATTGCGTGGAGTCCGGAATGTTTCTTCGCCAAGTACTTGCAAAATCCAGTGCCCAGATCGCGATCAGCAACCTCCAGTGCTTGCAGAGACAAAGTCGAATCTTGTCTGAATGGGTTGACAGAATAGCCTTCGGCTGGTGCTACTGGGAACCACAGCCCCTTATCACGAAGGCTGGGGCCCACATCCTCGGAGGAGGCGGGAGCCTGAATGTAATGTGAACATAAACCTCGGCCCCAGCCTTCCTCAAATCAAACTGGCCCCGATTGGAAAACGCTCTGTTGTAACAGCACGACATTGGGAGCATATATGGCATGTGAATAAGCTATCCCTGTAAAAGCACTGCTTAATTCCAGGTGCACTTGCAAACCCGAAACTTCTCGAAAGGTAAATCCTAACCCATAAACTATCCCTAACCCCTAAACCCTCAAGGTGCTCCCAAGGAACGAGACGTTCAGCTGCTCTATGAGATGCTGTACCACAGTGAGCTCACTTTCGCCTTTGGCTTTGCTCAGGAAACTGAGTTTGAGGGCTTATCGGATTTGTGCAGCTTTTGTAGTGGCTAGACTTGGGGAGGAAACTGTGTCTGAGACGTATGGGATTGGCATGGATGTTGTGGTGGTACTGGTTTGGGAGCTTAAGGGTTCGAGCGAGCGTTTGAGGGCCTATATGGGATTTATGCAGCTTTTGTGGTGGCATAGATTTGGGGAGCTTAGGGCTTTCAGCTGTGTAGAAATTGAGGGTCCGGGTTTGGGGTTTAGAAAGCCCAGCAGCCTGGCCGCCTGGCCTAGCCATGAGGTTTCCGTTGGGCTCTCTCCTAGAAGGGATTTTCAAAGCACCCCCGCAAGTTTGCTATACACAATTCATACTTGCTCTCGAAAAAGTAGATGTGGACGGCGCTCCAGTGGCAGCGACAAGATCGGTCATGCATGCTGTCCGTCTCTCACAAGCTGGGCTCTAATGCAGCAAAAACGGCCCAGTTCCAACCGCGGTGCGCTGCATGACGATAGAAGCATTGAAAATGGTGGTAAATGGAACCCTAAACCCTTTTTGCATCAGGACTTGTGCAATCGCCTGAATACATGGAAGCTAAACCCTAAACCGACCTAACCTCTGCTTTCTGGCCCATCTTGAAAGCTAGTGGAGCCCTTGGCCCATGTGAGCCGCAGCCCTCCCAAGCTAGCATAGCAGGACTATTATTAGACCTAAGAGTAACCTAGGAATAAAAGGGTGCCCTTTTCGGTTTAAAGGGGGTTACAAGGGAGCCCAAACCCTAACAAAATAATGAAGAAGGAATAAGGGCCTACTCTGGGTCCTAGACTAGAATCATGTACTCCTCACCCAGGCCCTAGACTCTAGCCGAAGATGCCGCACAGCCCCGCCGATGCGCCGCCGCCACGGCCAAAGTCCTCCGGTTTCGGCAGCGCCTGCTAGACGATGACATGCACATGTGTATCTGTATGTATATACATATATGTACATGTATATATATATATACACATGTATATACATATATGCAGATATTTATGTGTGTGTATATATATATATATATATACATGTACAGACATAAACATCGATGTCTGTATCTGCAGGGGAGCCAAGCCCGCCACCCACCCACCATCCACCCTCTCAGGGTCATTCTACGAACCGCATCACTTTGGGTGCACCAATTTTAAGTGTTACCCGATGCCCATGTTTGCACGGTGGCTCACTGCTTGGTTGGGTCGAGGTGACGAGTGACGGGTGCAATGTGGAGACTGGCGGAGCAAAGGACATACGGAGTTTAGGCTTTTTGGGCTTGGGGCTCAGCTTGGTCTTGGTCTTTGAGACTATCTCTCGGACATGGGTGTTTTGCAAGAATCCCAAACCCTCCAACCTGAGCTTTACCACTTGGAGGTTCATGGGTAGCTATAAGTGGGGGGTCATATTTCCTCTAATATGGGTGCATATTGGAGTTGCCCTGCTTATAACCCTATTCATAACGAGGTGCATATTGGAGTCGCCCTGCTTATAACCCTACTCATAACTACCCCAAAGATCCCTTAGAGGAACTCTAAACCCTTATAACCCCACCTATGACTACCCATGAACCTCCAAGCCAGCCGGCCCAATCAGAGATGTTTGATTGCTCAAGCTTTGCCAAGATTCGGGCACAAAAGAGCAACCAAACAAAAACCCATAAGGTTGGGATATCCCATAGCCCCCTTTGCAAGCAAAGCAGTAAGGCAGGGATAGCCCACCTGAAAAAATACGTTTGGGTGCTTGTTTGGTTTCTCCTAAGGTGGTCTTCCGAACCCGGACGTTCTTGCTTTTCAGGCTTCGCTCAGCCCAATTGAACCAGCTCGGTTTCTGCTTTCTGCAACCTGAAGGTATGCATCAGAGAAGTTGAGTTCGATCTCTGGAGTCTTCCAAGTTCCCACACTAAAATTCAAGCCAAAAAAAGTTGCACAGGCAAGGCAGAACCAAGTAGTCTTCCGTTCAACAAGCGTGAAGGACAGGCCCCTAAGCCCTGAGCGCTAACCCCTAACCTACACCCAATGAGCTCTGAACCTAAAGCCCTCCTGCCTCCGCGAGCTCCGGACGCAGCTCGAGAAGCTCCGGCAGTGTCAGCGGCAGCTGAGATGGGTGGCTGAGTCCACCTGGGAGTTTCAGGGCGAGCCCGTCTGAGTTCACCTCTGAATTGAAACTTGTGGATTCGGCGCTCACACTCGGACAATCACCCCAACTTCTGG